ACCACACATAATCCTCGCCGTTGGTCCCGCCACGGCTCCTACGCTTCTCTTATCTCGTCGAGGATCGAAGATAGTAGCCTCACTGTCGCGTTCGCTGGCTCCTCGCCGGCCAGGATCTTGGCGAACTCATATTGTCCTTTGTGCGGCATGTAACTTACCGGCGGTAACGAGACAGAGATGGTCGCCTCTTTTTCTCACGAAACGCTCCTTCTTGGCTAAGAGATGCGTGCGTGCTTACTCGTTTTGTATATAACGAGTAAATATTTAAACGATAAATGAAAATATCGCAAATTTTTGATTAAAAAAAGATATGGGATTGTTAGAATTATTTTTTTCCGAGCTCTTGTCGCAATTATCCTTTTCATTAGGGAAAACAACGCATTAAGTTACGCGAGAAAACGCTTTCTAAGGCTTCTAAATTGTATATTGACAGACTGGGAGGATTACAGTAATAATAAAAAATTCTTACATATGATTTAAAAAGTGGTAAAGAAAAATACTAAATATTTTATTGATAATTTGTAAAATCTTTCCTATTATCGTCCAAAAAATTAGCTGCGGATGCGATTGTTTTCAAGCATTTCTCATTCTGTCGAATCCATAATATATTTTGTTTTAAATACTACCTAATCTCGAGCCGAGAGTTCTTTTAATAAGACTGTCGCGATTCTCGAAGGATTTGCATTCGCATCGGCCGTGTTATCGTAAATCTATGTACGTGTTTCACGATGTATTAACGTATTACGAAACCCGAGTCGAGGTACGATGCAAGAGGATAAATAAACGCTTCCAGATCTCCGACATAGCTGCGAGAACGTCACGACTCACGCGTCTCGCTCTTTTTAGAGCTGCAACGATGACGGTTCTTGGTCCCCCTACGATACAAACAGGTCGATCGCGTGAGAGGCCCGCCTGACAAAGACGAATAATATCGATAATATTCCGCATCGAAGGCATCCCGTCCGGATTGGCTTAAAATCGACGGATCAGGCGCGGTACGCGTGTGCTTGCATGTGTATCCGCGTGCGTGTGCGCGACGCACGTATAAACGCGCTCGGATCTCGTGCCGACGGAGATACGGATGCACCCATACGGCTGAAGGTTCGTAACACGATAGTGGTCGTATGTAAAACCATCTGGTGTAAAACGAGCTGCTGGCTCGTTCGAGTATTAAATCGGGCCTCTCTTACTCTCTTTCCGACTACTTCCCTCGCGGCCCCGCTGCCCCTCCCCCCATCGCCATAGTCATAGTCGTCGTCGTCGTCGTTGACTGCCGCTGCTCTTTTTTTTTCTTTCTTTTCTCTATACCGCAGCAGCACCCTTTATCCTCCACCACCTCCTCCTCCTCCTCCTCCACCCCTTTTCCCGGCCTGCCGATCGACTCGCGCTGCATGGAGATCTTCGCGTCGAACGCGCGCGCAGAATCTGTTAAGCCGACCAGCAACAACCGCCGCGCTGCGCATTCCGAGCTTAACGTCGCAACGCGCGCCAAATGAACTCGTTAACGTTCACGTGTTCGATGCCCGCGAGTTGGCTTCTCGGCCGCTCGACCAAGCGTGTCTCTTCCTATTAAAATCTATGCGTTTATTGGACCGACTAAGGAGTCGCGGAACGGGAAAGAGATCTCTCGATTGCGATATCAATCGCTCGTTGCATGATGAATGAATCATAGATTACCGATACGAAAGCGAATACATGAAAAACAATTAAAAGATCTGTATCAAATCGACGTTGATAATATAGCTCTATTCTTTATCGATGAACTCTCTGAACTGGTGCACACGATGTAATAAGTTGAAACGTAACTATATTGTAACGTATATTGTTTCTTTCACTTTTCAACTTATTATTCCTTAAGTATCAGTTTAAAGAGTTTTTCGATAAAGAACATTAGCGGATTCAGAAATTTACCAAGGAGGTCATTGGCGCTCCACAAGCGAAATTTTTTAAAATTAAATACGGAAAGATAGAATATTGAGATTATTATTGACATTAGACTGTGTGAAAAAGTATTATTTAAATATATAATTCATAAACGCTTAATTTAAAATCATAACATAAAAAAAGCATAACATAATAGAATCTATGTATATTTTTTTATACCTAGGAATTTTTTAAATTAAAAAATTTTTTTGGAATCAAAGTTGTGATTAACTATTTCAGAAATATTAAAAATATATAACAGTTTGCATAAATAGTTTTAAAAAACAAGAGGAAGGCTTCTCTCCCTGTGAATCCGCCATTGTGTATGTGATAAAGAACAAGCCCCTTATATGTATTAAAAAAGAAACTAAAAAATTTTTAGTGTAACATTTTTCTGCTCGATAGTACTTCTTTCCGTTGCATCGTTCGCGTTTAACGGGAACTCACGTCGGCGATATCGTTAGCGGAATGTCGTTGAGAGCATCGAAAGGAAAGCACGAATTATGCAAGTGGATCGTGCTCGTGCACTTCGTAGCACGTAGGAGGGCACGGTCGTCGAGAACTGTTCCTTAAGTCGCTGCGTCGCGAGGGTGGTAGTGAACAGTGAGAGTGGAGACAAGGGCTGAGGAAGCACGACGAAGGGGCATCGGCCATGGGAGCGCATCATCGATTTCTTTTTATCGGATCTCTCCGCCTCGAGAATCTAACCTAACGAGTCAGCGAGCATATGCAACCGCGAGGAACTGCTTAAGCTTTCCGGGCATTCCTAACGTTAGGGCCAGCAAAACGCATTAGCTAACGGCTCTGAAAATGACACTTTGTATCAGCTAATGGGTAATTAAAGTCCTGGGGTTACGTTTCGCTCGGAATTTATTAAACGCGCCGCTGGAACGCGCGACTCCGACTCGGTACTCGACGCGGCTGGATATCGGATCGGCGCGTTTATGGGGATCCACCACTTAAAATCTGCGAAAACGCAGATAAGGGACGCTCGAAAGTTCGCTCGTCTCGCTGAAGATTGCGATACGTTCTTGTCGGTCAATCTTTCCGAACCGATTTAAGAATCGCCGATGTGCGCGTTAAGACTACATTTGGCACTAAATGTGATAGTTTGATTTCGTACCCCTGATCTGAAGTGTCGCTTAACACTAGAAGAGTATCGACATTTTTTACTTATTAACAAGACCAGGCAATTAAATTATTATGAAAATAAGGAAAGTGATAAAAAATAAAATATCATATCAGTATAAAGGACATAGTTATTAGAAAATTAAAAAATTTCAGAATCCTGTTTTTTACACAAGAAATATAATTTTGATCTAAAAAAATAGAAATAGTCAATAATAACCGCTCGATACTTCTAGTGTTATATAATAAGAGTAATTTTAAAAAATGTAAAATGTATTTAAAGCAATCTGAAAAGTACGATTTTACAATATTCCAGACAATGTTTATATCCCAAATTAAAAAATGATAGATAAATCGACGTTAAATTCATGACACGAATATGAGACTTTAATAATAATTCAATAATAATCGATGGTGATATGTTAAAACAGAAGTGGATATAGCCGATCGATGACAGTTTGCGAGCGAAATTGGACAATTGCTTTAAGAATAAGGTTTCATATTTCATGTTTTTTTTTATTACATATTCACCAATATTACGTCGAAGAACTGCGATCGCTCGGCTGAAATCAACTTGACGTGTCATTTTATGTACATTACTTTTTATTCGTACATTCCTTTCTCCAATTTCACTTACGGGACGTTCCTGAAATCCCTTACAGTTATACACATGTCGCAATTAATAATAATACCTTCAATAATATAACTATCACATACTAGCAGTAATAGCTAACGACTACAATAGCAATTCATTTACTTATGTATGTATATATTCCGTACGGCATAGATTTGAGTAATATTGCAGCAACATTATAATTAATATTCCAATAACATTGCTAACGATTGCTGCAAACTTTTATGTTGTATGAATATGATAGCGTATTAATATAGGAATACACGCGTACATTACCTATATATTGTGTCACTTACGCATTGTCATCATTTCCATTGTAACACAATTCTCTGCCAATTGTCGTTGCAAAATCAAATCACAACATTCAATCGATGTCGTATAAACGGCTTGACGATTTACATCGAAATGTTACGTCGTTAAGTTAAGTTTGCCTCAATCGTAACGCAACCTCGACATCGTGAGAAACGATTCCGTGCGCCGACCTCTTTCTTCCTTTTTTCTTCTCATCTGGCGTTTCGAGATCTCGCGACGAACATATTTAATAATAACGCCGACCGATTTATCACACGCGTTAATGAGAAAGAAGTCGTATGCTGCACGTCATCTCGCGCCGCGCCGACTCGTTCTTAATGGGTCTTGCCTACATTCATCGTAACCAATCTACGGTACAAACTCTATCTACGGCAACGGCGACACTTAAATTTAATCTTAACACGCCAAAGACGACGTTTTTGCCAGCAATATCTCATTGGGGAGTTTCAAGCTGCTTCTTGCGCAAAATATTTACGTGAATCATTCTCGAGACGCGGCGTGAAGCTGTGCTCAATATATCGATTTAAGAAAATTTTGCAGTAATAATGCGTTACGAATATCCTGCAATTCATCGCGTGGATATTAAAACACTTTGCGCAAAGAAAAGCATCAATAAATAGTATCAAGATGTTCGTTAAAAGTTAATATTAAGATAAAAAGCGAGATTCATGTATATTATTTGTGCACGGTACATCGCGTCTTTACGCTACAGGTCTTCACTTTCGGATGTCCAGCTCTCCCCGACTATTATCATTCTCATTTCACGTATCCATGGTCTTAACGCGGTACAAGCAAGTCAAGCGCAAAGGTTGAAGCGTGAGAGGGAAGCGACGCGGTAGATGAGGCTGGATAAAGAGCGGGAGAGAGGGGTACGAGGGGAGGAGTAGCGAGTCTCGTCGACGGGACAGGGACTAATGCCTCTTAATGTGGTTCTGGGAGAGCTGGAAGATAATGAAATTGTGGAGAGCGCCCTCAAGTGTCTTAAGAAAGCCCTGCCACTGACCTTTCTCGTAGTTGATTTGCCTCTCCTGCTGCCTCGCGTTGTCAGCCGCGACCTTGAGCAGGCCCTGGATATTCCTCAGCAGGGTCTCCGTACTCGAGACCGAGGGGTCTTGGGCGCTCTGAGACACGGCGACCGCCGCCGAGGCTATCTGCGAGTAGTTCAGGGCTTGAGGCGGACTTTCCGAGCCCGGTGCTGGCAATGGCAGGTTTTCCGGCACGTCCGACAAATCTGAAAGCAAAATTTTCATATTATTTCCTTCTGAATATCTTCGAGACGATAAAACGGGCAGAAAAAAAAGTATCTCTATCTGACAATAAATAAACGCCGTCTATTCTGTAAACGCACGGAGCTCATTTCGCGTGGAGATTTCTCCTCGGCGAGAACGCCACGTCGGGAGCAAAACGTCAATGATAAATTCGATGCAACGAACGTCGGACAACGTTCGAAGTACGAGGGGCGAGCCCCAAGACTTATACAGCGTGCGTGTCTCAAAGTCGTAATCTCGCGACGACTACTTGTTACCCTTCGCCACTTTTTGATTTAATGTCAACGTGGGCGAATTAAATTCAGAGATTAAACGCTACACAGCGTTCCTCAGACGATTAGTCGCGTCTTGACCGACTGGCTATTTATCATCGCGCTGTGAAATACAGAGGGGAAGGGGGGAGAAATGAAGTATCATTATTGATGACTAGCAATATAATTTATATGACGCTAATACGATTGTCCATGTGAAATTAGAACATTCCTAATTAATATTATGTATCTTTCAAAAAAATGTCACAAAAAATTTTCGATTAAATCAATTCCAAACTTGAAACATTGAATCATCAATATTATATTATCCGATTTTGACCAGAAAGGCAAATCAAACTGGACCACCCTGGACTGAACGCTCGAGACACTTCTTGGAAACACGTTCTACTCGAAACGCATTGACACACGTCTGATATTCTGTCGCATTATGGAAGGGTCCGTGGTCATCGTTCTCTAAGATCAGCAAAAGAGATCCAGCGGGATCGTCGGAATAAAGGATGCCTTATGGTTATTGCTGCAGGGTCCCGGAGAGTGGCGGTGAGACAAGATGTCTGCGTGGGTTCCAGGCTTAAGTGATCGCTCGTACCGGCCCACACCGTGGGTTTTAGCAGCCCGGCTGCTTTACGGCCAACGATATGTAGTTTATTGTATCGTCTTTTAATTATCTGCGCGCACCTACAACGCCACTCGGCAATCGGTTACTTATTGCCATTGGCCGATTTAACGCTCAGCGCACCTTTGGTGCCGGCACCTTTTGATAGGAAAGCGCGTCGCCTCTCCTTTCCTTTCGATCCCTCGCTCTCCTAAAATCACGCACGATCCTTTCTCTTTTTTCTTTTCAGCATTATTCCGTGCGACTATATCTTTCTACCCATTACAATTATCAGGACAAGAGTCGCCATCCTCTCGGAATCTTTTCACCGCGAAAGCGCATGAGTTCGACCTTCGCCTTTAGAATCTCTTGACAAGAACGTGAGAAGAATGTTCACAATCAGAAACACGGTAAGAAAATTATGCAATACATGCACTTACAGCCAATGTAGAGTAAAGTTGAATAATTTGGATAGGTTAACATAAATTTTCAAATTGAATAAAAGATTGAGGTCGCATAGTGTATTCAATTAACATACGAAACATACATTATTGCATTAATAGTGTATGTTTTGTATCTACAGCTTTTATTTAAGATTTTAAAAAAGAAACGTTATCTCCCGATAAGGAAGATAACAAATATATATGATAACAAATAAATATGATAAACAATAATAAGATTGAAAGACCGCTAATGTTAAACATAATAATATTAAATTAAGAAGCGCCATAACGGTCAGAACGTTAAGATGTTGAACTATTGTAAATTCATTTAAATGAATTAATTTCAGAAATGATAATTGCGTGCCGATATGGTTGTCGGACTTTCAACGCAATCAAATCTGAAAATATTAATAATCCCCCCAAATATGATAAAGATAACAAATAAAGATAACAAATAAATATGATAATCGGATCAAAAATGACTGAGAAAAATTCAGTGAGGATTGTCAGATGCAAAATCGACGACGAATCGCGGTGAATCCGATTCCAAGAAAGAGAGCGAGAGATAGTGGCGCGTCTCATTAAATCAGAACTGCATTCCACAAGCGTGTACACTCCCACGGGCGTTCGACGTGGTTCTACTTCGATCACCCGCGAGCATCGTAGGTAGAATGTACCCATGTATTGCGTACGACACGCTGCGAGACACGGATTTGATTCCCCTCCCTCCCCCCCCCCCTCTTCTCGTCGTACACGGCCCGCGCCCGGAATTTATACGTCTAACTCGCGTATTTCGTGGAATTTACAGGCCCACTAATTCGGGGGGACATGCGGGATCCCCTAATTTTGCGAGCGCGCGGCAGTCCCCAACATTTTCCAGCCAGCCTCTAGCAGCGCGAAGGCCGAATGACGAATAATTTTATAATTTCCATGAATTCTTACCAGTATCGTCGCCCCCATCGAGAATACAAAATGTCTCGATTCGCCCGTAAATCACTCGTGACCGCGCAAGGCACGCTTTCTTCTAACGACTCGGCCTCGCATTAAATTGCGATCCGAAAGAAACGAAATTAATTAAGACAACGCGAGATGATCAAGTGCATCTTTTTTTTCGTTGGAAGCGCATTCGTGATGTGGAATCGATCCCACGTGGTTACGCGACTTTATGAGCGGCCCTCGGGCCATTAATTGGGCCGGCCAATTAACATGCCGGCGTGACAATGGTCGAGTAGATTAGAAATCAAAACGATTATGACGCTTCGGTGAATCCGGAGCGCCGGAACAAGGCAGGGAAGGATAGCGATGCAAAGCTCAGACAGAAGATTCGATCTCTCGATCCATCTTTCATTAGAAAAATGAAACTAAATACTGAAGATACAAGTCTAATGATCGCTTTGTCCCGACAGTGACGCTTCTCACGTAGATGCCACGCGTTTTGGAGATATTTGCCAATAAGAAAATAAGACTATCCGATGTCACAAAGCACACAAATGCTCAATAAATGCTCAAAAAATCAATTGAAAAAAGCAATAATTACATTTAGTATTTTTATGAAATAATTTTTTTCGCTAAACTCGAGGCAATTAAAAACGTTTGGATCTACATGCGACTTGGCAACCGCTGCGCGTTTCTCAGAGCGCGATGGAAGATGAATCCCGAAGCGTCCCTCGCGCTCTCTCGGTAGAGATGATGGATGAGAGGCCCTGACCCGCCAGTCGTCTAGAAGAACTCGTCTTTAAACGCGGCGTGTCCGGCAAAATCGATATAATTATTTCACGAGCACGTATCCTTTCTCTTCATCTCTCTCTCTCTCTCCTTGAAATCGAAATCGTCCTTTTGACATTCGTCAAAAGCGAAAGAAACGCATTTTATCGCTCGGTTTTAATTGATTACCAGGGGAACGATCTCTTTCAAGCCGATCGCTTTATCAGAGATATAAATGGCAGACAACACAGATCCTGTCGCTTGCGGTTCAATTGCCTCGCACATCTGAAAAACATACCTTCATCCTTTTCATTGTCGTCCTCGAGGTCCTCCGACAGATTATCGTCCTCCTCCTCGTCGTCTTGAGAACGGTGCGACGCACCTGCCTCACTTCCGGACTGCTCGCCCACGCTTCCGCTTCCCGCCGTTTTTGAGAGATTTAGAACCGGGCTGTGACCGTTGGAGGAGCCTGAAAACACACAGACATTGCGACAAAATCAATTAAAGATGCAATTCGTATCCTATCAAATATGTAAAAGTATATCTATCCAATATGTGCATGATGTATATCAGAGTCGAATTGACATCACAATGTATCCACTCGGTACGATAACGTTCCGTTGGAAAGCGGCGTCAATCTTTTCCAGAGAACGTTCGGTTACGAAGAACGAGAAGCGCGTCCATCGACCAAACTGACAAGTTGATGGATTTTATTTACCACCGCGCATCCCCCGTTTAGACGAGAACAAGCGGACTATCCACACCCCGAATCTCCCCCGATCGCCCACCTACCCCGATGCGACCACCTCTTTCTCTTTCCGCATCCCTTTTTCCTTCGGCTTCGGCCGTCTGAGCGCGCTCGCGCGCGTATTTGATATCCTAGTATTTTAATCCTGACATAGATAGATACTGTTTGGGCAACGGTCGTCGGCTGACGCATTGCTTCGGACCACTCGTGATCTCACGAGTACTCGGAACGGATACTCGTACGTATAGTGAGACCAACGCGCCTCGGCCGTTCACACACGTTCAGAGCACCGTGTATCTCGTTGGCCATTGAAAGAGAAGGGTCGCGGTTTTCTCGGCTCTTCCCCGACGCGATCTAATGAATCGTACATCTTTTACGTTAAATTGACTTCCATGCGCCGGCCGCCGTTGAAGGCTGTGAGTCTCAGTCGAAATCCATATAGCAATCGAGAGTCTCTCTTGCGTGAAATGTGACTTTGATCTCATAAATCTAATTGCACTGATATATGCAAATACGATTAATTTTTGCGTGTAACATTATTTGATAGGTCGAAAAATACGAAACGTAGATAGAAATCGAAATGTGTTCCGGAACGAAGGTGTGGGCCCGTCGCGGAAAATAAAGAGTTCCATCAGACGGATTATAATATTATAGAGAATCAGAAGGAGATGTAGGGACCCGCGACCAGGCCGTAACCCGATATCGGACTTAATCTCCGAGATCCTGAAAATGCCCGGAACGCTCGTCGTTCGACTGCTTTGTGGACACACACGGGTCAGAAGGGAAGAACGAAAAGGTAGAAATACAGAAAACGACAAATACGCTTAGATTCTCGGACCGCCGCGCTGCGCCGTGTCGCGGTCAAAAATCTTTCTGCGCCGCTTGACTTCGAGTCCGCATCGATCGACCATGTTCCATGGAGGAACTCTGACGATTAAGGATCTCGCGTTACATATTTAATCCATGACAGGCGCTACAATAGGCAGGTAGGAATACGAGAAATAGCGTTAGAAACTGTAATGCCTTGTAACACGGTATAACTCACAGCATCCTTTCAGAACAGAAACTTTCTAGATATTACATATCGAATTTTTAAAAAATTTTGATTTATTGATACGATTAACTGTAAATCGATATTTATATTAGTGAGAATATATTAGTGAGATAATATATTAGTGAGAAATATCATATATTGATTGCAAGTCATAATTAGTTAAGCTAACTGATTAAGTTAAATTAATATTCGACAGCAAATGGCTACGTTTACACCGTACGCTTAGTCCACGACCTACATGATAGGTGTCTTTATTTAACCTACAGAATAAACAAGGACATCTATTGTATAGACCGCGGCCTAAATGCACAGTGTAAACGTAGCCAATGACGAATAATGCCAGTCTTTAATAATTTTTAATCTTTGAATCTTCAATTTTTTTTAAATTATAATATATATGTGATTAAACTTAAAATATACGAACATATATGCATTCATTTATTTGTGTGATCTTACCATTGTGCGAGCTGAGGTCCCTGGGTTTGTGGTCCAAAGCCAGCGCTCTCTCGGCGTCGCCCCTCTCCTCTCGGAGCCTGTAACAAAGAAGAAGAGAGAAAAGAAAGGTTTCGTATTAATCTGAGGGATTTAAATCGACCGAGCGCGGAGGTGGACTCCGCCACTACGTAGGGTATTAATTAAATAATTATTCTAGTCGCTGGGCAAGGGATCCGCGTAGGAAGATAAGTACCGGTCTCACATCGTGACGGTCCTCGTCGTATCGCTGTACACCGCGCATTATCGTCCTTAATCGCCTTGTCCGCCGCGACACACATCTCGCATTTATTTAACCTATCATGATGACGTCACGTATAGAAGAATCACAGCTTATGTCGCCAATGATAAATTAATCAAATTTATTCAAAAATATTTTCGGAGCAGAAAATCCACGACGAGTGAAAAACGAATTCCCGAAAGCGATGAGTGCTCCTCTTTTATATTTTATTTCGATTTCCTCGGGCATCCAGTTTACGAGGTCGTTAATGCGGCGCCGTGGTTTTTCGTTCCCGAGCTACAAGAAACTTTTAATCTTAGCTTTATATTGTTTGACATTCTTGTCCCTGGATTCCATCTTGGCTTATCCAGAATCATTAAGATTTCTGTCTCGATGTTGCGGTGTGCATTAAGAAACGAGCGAGGATTGCAAAATCGGGCAGACAAGTAAGATAAAAGCTTCGAACAAAATTACTTTAACGTTGTTCCTCCAACTACGAAAGGCATAATTGATCCTTGTTGGCCGATTCCTCACAGATCGCGGTTAATAGAACAATTAAAAGTAATTAACATTGTCGCGAAGAAGCAATCTAATTAATGAGGTTGCTTCTTCGAGATAATATTATCTCGCAGCAAAGAGAAAATAATTTTCGAGTGACAAAAGTTTCGTAGTACAAGCACTTTGGCCAAGGGACAGATTCTTTAATCGCGCGTAAAGAGTTAAGGGCAAGAGCGACCCTCGGCAGCAGTGCCGCAGAAAAAGGGGAACGTGCCAGTCGATGTCGCGGCTTTTATCGTGAAGTTTATGGCGGAGGTCATCCACGTAGTCGCGGATTTATTTTACAAGAAGAGAGAGAAGTGAGGAGGAAAAGGGAGAAAGGCAAATGGATGTGTTCTCCAAGTGATTAGGTTCTTTCACCGCTGTATCCATTTCTCTTCTCTCATTTTCAGTCTCCTTCCCTTTTCTCTCTTTCTCTTTCTCACGTACCTCTTGCCCTCTCATTTTTTTCATTCTTTTCGTACTCGACTCGCCAAATTATTCCCCGAGGTATATTTTTTCCGGCTTCGGTTCGGAGCTGCGGTTCGGAAGAGGGGGAACGGGCGACTCTTTCGCACCTCGAATCGAACCGCGGACCATTAAGTAAGAAGTTAATATCATTAAACATAATATTGGGCGCATCTGGGAGCCGCAGAGCACTTACCAACCCCTCCGTCTACCCCCGGTTTCCCTGCTTGCCGCCACAAAACCCTCCTGTCTCAGACCCACACTTCGTTTCTGCACCGCGAACTCGGTCCCCCTCACCTTCCATCGCTCCCGCTCGTCTGCAACCGCTTCGCTCCTTTTCGCCCCCCGCTTGCCTCCGGCCCCCTCCCTATCCTTAATTTTTTAATGAGAAAATGCTTTCAAAGAGCCGGAGAGAAATACTGTGTCTACGAGCGATAAGTTACGGCAGTGTTAAGGGAAACGGAGAGAGCCTTTATGTGCGCACCTCGCAGGCCGCAAAATGTAAAGATTCCCCAACTAGGAAGAGTCGAGAAAAAGAGTATTTCACCCTTGTGATCGAAATGGCCAGCATGGATATTACAAAAATCTAACTGTAATATAAAAGTGACGGAAAAGGGAGAAAAGAATAGAGAGAGTTCCATTGAGCATAATAACAGCTCGATAAAATATCGCCATTAAACGTTCGAATGGTGTAATGAATTAATTTCCATGATGGTTAAATTTTAATTGGTAATACGAGTCCATTAAGACACAGAGGCAACCGACTTAGTCCTGTTCTTTTCGCGCGGTTCGTATCCAACTCTCTTCCCACGACGAACTCGTCGATAATCTGCAGAAGCAAAATGGCAAATGGGGGAAACGTCAGGAAAAAGGCAAAGGAGCGAATGGGGAGAAAGACGGAACGTGCGAGAGCGTAGAGTCGATTCATTTAGACGTCGCGGCCTCGCAATAACCGGCAACGAACCGAGGTTATTAAATTTGTAATTAGTCGAATATTACGTTCGACGTCGCGGTGCTCTCCGTGTCTACACGGCTACGGTTACGGCGCCGCGCCATCCGCGCCATACGTATCCGCGTGCGCGAATACGTTAATACGGGTTTCATTATGCGCGCGTAATACGGTTCCTACGCTCACGGATCTCGACGATACGCGAATAATTAGTGATCGTGGCCCTACCTCAGCCGAACGCGGGTTGTCTGGTACGCGGGGAAGAACCGTTTTCTCGACGAGGAATAACGAGGCGCCGCATCCACCAGTCGAAATTACAGTCTCGTTAGTTAGAGAGGGGGGTGTAGCTGAACGTTTATATTAAATTCGGTTGTGCTTCGTCGCAATTATTAATTCGTTGATAAATAATCGCCAGACTACTGCGAATCGTATCCCCGGACTCGCCTACGCTTTGCGCGCCGCGAAACTAATAAGCTATGCCGAAAATGAAAGCGCGCGCCCTTCTGTATCTTTAGCTTTAATTTTGAGTCGGTAATGATGGACTCCGCGGGGATTCTCTATCCGACCGTTCAGAAACGGCCGCCACGAACAGCGGGAGTTCATTAAGAGGCGGCGAGGTTTCCGAAGGCTGAGAGAGCAGGACCACTGAAGGATTCTAGATCATTTTGCGAAATCGGATCGCACTCGCGGATCCTTATAACGGAAATTACTCGCTGTTTCGCGGATCTAGCACGTGGAACGTGTTATATCCAATAATGCATCCTCTTCCCCTCCCTCGGCCGCTTTGACGTTTTCGATCAAAACGGGACGCGCGACAAACAATGGGGAGGGATTTCCACGTCCACCAAACGCATCGTGCGCATAACGCATCCGATAATGACGATAGCAATTGTAATTTCGGCACGACAAAGGGCCTCTGTAAAATGGCGAAGGTATGTCCCCGCGCTCTTCGATCCGGGGCGGCCGTCCAACAGCTTTTTTAATAAACGATGCACGTGCCATCGGCGTTCCAGCATTCACATACGCCAATGAATTTTTATCACGACGCGTCGTCGCATGTCGCGGCGTGTAAACATTTTTTTTTACCCTAAATCGCGAATCCCCAATTATTCGCGCGTTTATCCCGTTATCGAGTAACGGGAAGCCCGAACGTCGTAATACCGATCGACACACTATTACATTCAAAACTACCAGGCAAACGAGACGAAAATATTTTAGGGACGTTGATTGAAATGAAAATTTTAATCACCGTCAAAAAATTTCAGTCTACTTTGCATACGATAAATTCTCAGGAGGTACGTTGAAATAATTCATAGTATCAGAATTAGTTAGCTGGGTTAAAAAAATACACCAGCTGGTACTTGATGTGAGATTTCGTTTGTAAATTCTGTACACAAAATTAATTTCGTAGGAAGGCAAAGCGTTTTCTCCGCGCGCGCATGTATCTCGAGGGTCGTTTCCTCGTAGATATTTCGACCAAGTCGAAATAATAAACGACTTGGATCTGCGAGGAGGGTCGTAACATGATCTAGAGTACGCGAGTTTCTGAGTGAAAATTCCACCCTTAGGACCGTGACATTCGAGGCGAAAGGGGTTCCGCGACTCTCGTAACGAGTGTCCTCGTTGCAAACGCAATGCGATCTTAAAAGGACTTCTTCCCATTACAATTGTAATACAGTGTTTTCTGAGGTGTTGTGTCAATAATCGTACAAACAACAACCGAACAAACGATATCGAAGCCTGAATCCTGTTAAATTATTCAATTATCAGTCAGAGAAAGAACTTCGAATTCGCGATGCGCGTCAATTTAGCGGGAACGCGATCTAATTCAAACAAACGTAGGGGCAAAGAGGAAAAAAATGGGAGACTTAATTCGGAAATGCGGCGAGATCATAAATTACTCCGAGAGATTCCCCGTTGACGTGATACAAGCGTCGAAACTCCGGTTCCTTCGCGCGAAGGGCGAATCGCAGAGCGATGGACTCGAATTACAAACGATGCCGTCGCCGGCAAAAAGGGCCTGGCGTCCTATCCTCTATGTTCTCCGTCAGATCCTTACAGATATTATCCGGCATATCGCGAGAGACGGACAACATTTATCAAACCATGCGCAACCCGTGGAAAGCCCTTTCCTTTTCGATTTCAATCAGCGAATGCCTGACATTCCACAAACATCAATAGGGTAGCTGAAGTAAGACGTTTGACCCTCTGACATTAATTTCTGATTTTCTTCGCTTTTATTTCGAAATTAAATCTCATAGAAAATTGCTGCTACGTTTCAAAAGTACAGTATAATCGTGTAAATTTAAATTTATATCACAAGTGATTAATAGTTATCTCTTTTTTCGTTTATAAACAACCATCACGTATTCGCCGCGAAAAGTTTAAGCGGATTCCTTGACCTAAAACAAGAAAAAAATTTTTCGTAAACACGCGTCCGATCCTCAACAATAGCATCTGTACGATATTCGTGTAGTATGCCAGCGGTATTGAATAAACGCTGAATGTATCTCTAATAAACACTTCCCGCTTCGGAATTTGTCTATCGGAAAATAATCGCCGGTATTCGGCAACAAGAGCAGCGCTATCGCAAAATCCATAAACATCATATCGGCATTTTCATGCCGGATATAGTATCAAGTAACTGACGTACTGCACTGTACTATATTTTCAAGAATGTATAAAAACTAACGCTACGTGATAGTAGAAACGCACAATCGAAAACATTTTTATAATATTAAGATTTAAAAAAATGATGCGCGACATTTGATACATTTTTTTTTTACGTCACTCATTCCAAGTGCCCCTCTGTATTTTTTAAATTAGTTCTCACTTCTTCAGACCCTCGTCGTTTTGACTGATAGATC